GAGTGGTGCCCGGCTTTACGCGAGTGAATAAAGTGAATGTGATTGGTCGATTATCAAGACGGCGGGATTGTTGTGGCGGAAGGTTCGCAAGCCAGTTTGGTTGTGGTCGGTGTCTCGGAAGCATATGGCTAACCAGTTAGCAACTTAGTGCTAGTAGGTCCCCAATGGGAGATTACATTGGGACCAAGTAGCACTTACCAACAAAACTGTCAAGGAACGCTATGGACAGTGGAAACATGCAAGAGGAGGAGAGTTTTGTGTCAGAGGTAATGGATGAGTCTCTTCCATCATACAGTTTTTATTTAGAGGAGGAAAGCGGGGACAAAGTTGTTGTGGAAGAGGACGCCAGGGCTGCAGCAGCTTGGTTTGGTGTAGAAGGCTTACAGCCGTACATGTTTGAGCCCTTGCCTCGCAAAAAAAGTCTGTGCGTTCATAAAGAGGTGCCATGTTCATTTCCATTAATGCTATAGGCAATTTTTTCTTAGGTTTGGTAGTGTGTCATATTCATTCTACTTCGAAGTAATAAATGGAGGAGTGCTCCTTTAAATGCTCATACTTTCGTATATTTTTTACATTAACTTAACCTAACTCCGCTTTAAGTTTTGTGCATACAGCTGTTTTATGCTATCTGCTCTGTAATGTTCTCAAACACACATCTGAGGGCCTCTTAGAATAATCATATTTATACTGAGATCAAATTACAGGTGGACTCCATTCACTAATTAAAACACTGCTGACGAGAATTTGCTGCTGGACGTTGTTTAGAGTAAAGTGAGATTAATACAAATGTAAAACTCAGTCAACAGCTTTTTATTTGGAAAACAAAAAAGAGTTACTTTCTTCCTTATAGCACCTAATAATCCACTAATTAGTTTTATCCTATCCCAAAAACTCTGTATTATAAGTATATAAATATATATGTATACATCAAATTCTGTAGTTGTATTAATACTTTAGAAAGAACGGTGAAGTGTTTTCTATAAAACTACAAAAAGAGTAAAAAAGATTTGTCCAAATGAAAGAGCTAAATAGACGCTCAGTGTAATATCCCCATCTATCCTCAAAGGCACAGCTTTTACCAATTCGTACACAGCAGCATTAGCAGCCCACAGTGACCTGTGCTGAGCTTTCGCCTTCTGCTGGGGTCAACCTACACAAAGATTTATTGCAGCTGTAGAGTACTTCCAGCAAAGCAGCAGAGAGGTCCTCCACTAAAGGGAAACTCACTTAAGTATCTCTTGGCTTGAGGGGGAAAAAAAAGACACAGCAAGGCTTTGCTTTAAAAAAAAAAAAAAAGCGGCAGATCTTTTCACTGTCGAAATCTAAGAAACAAGATTTTTCTTTTTAACTGTCAGCATCAAAGTTGGAGCTTGTCTTGAATAATAAACATCACTTAGAAACACATGGAATACATGTTTAATATTTCATTTTTGATGTCAAATATTACAGAAATGAAACAGGTTCTTGCAAATCTACAAGAGAGTTTCACACAGCGATAGAAATCTCTGCTGCTGTTTATTCAGATTAACAGAAATAATTCATTGCTAAAAGAAATTAAAGATCAATAGGAGGGGAAAATGCTAATATTCTTTATTCAAATGAGTGTTTGACTGACATCAGGGTATGGTGAGCAAACATCCAGGAAGTGCTCAGATGGAATAATTTATTTATTAATTATTTTTTTTAGAATGAGAGATACTGGGGACTTTATGATGATACCAGAGACAATTTACTTTTTCCATAGATGGGTTCCATTGGAGGATAAATGCACTGCTATAAACACAGCAAGGTTTCTGCTGTATGTAACTGATGGTGGTACAGCATCACAGCAAAAAACCAAATATTAAAACGATGAAAATCAAATCTTATAGAACATTGTATATTTATTATGAAATGTTAAAATTTACTCTATTTTGAAAAGCAACATGGCCGCCTCCTATCTGTCTTACTGTCAAGCTTCTTAGTTTTACAAGGCCAACCAGATTATTTAGTCAAATCTATACTTTTTTTCTTTCCTTCTCCTGATGTCAATTCTCTAGATCAGGGGTCTTTAATGTTTTCCAGGCCAAGGACCCCCAAACTGATGGTGAGATGGAGCGGGGACCCCCTAATTATATATATTGTATAAAATAGTGTTATATCAAACTGGTCCTATAGTCACTCTATTACAGATAGAGTAATGTAATGAAAGTAATTTCTTCCTGGGATTAATAAAGTATATCTGATTTGATTTCTTGTTGATGGGATAGGTGTTGTGAATGAAACGGTGCCCAGATTGAAAGAGCTCCTTCCTGTGTGTCGCTGAATGTTTGCATTGATGACTAGAAGACATCTTCTGCCTCCATTTATCTGTTTACTACAGTGTGTTGAATTCCTGTTAATGTGCATTTAAAGATATTTCCATTAGTGGAAAAAATGGCAGGAGGGAATATAAATATAATATCAAATTTATTCTCTGGTTAATGTGTCATTTATGCTGAAAAAGATCTCAAAATATAAGTCTTTTTTTTTTTAGAATTTTAAACAATGTAATTCATATTTCCAAAAAGAGAGAAAAACTTTTAAAGATTACATATTATGTGTCAAATCTTGATATTCTTTCTCTGACTATTTGAAGAACTAAAAAAATCTAGAGTCTCTGTTTCTGTTCTTACTATTAAACTTATTGGAACAACAATGACAACATATATATATATATTTTTTTTTATATCTCCTCATTTCCACTCTTTTGTCAGATATTTGACTTATTTTTACTCAGAAATACAGATCTGCATTGATGACTGAAAGACATCTTCTACCTCCATTTATCTGTTTACTTCAGTGTGCTGAATGTGTATTTAAAGACATTTCAATTATTGGGAAAAATTGCAGGGGGGAATATAAAATCAAACTGTAATCAACCAAAACTTTCGCAACCCCCATGCGGTACCGCCGCAGACTCCCTAGGGATTGTGGACCCCCTGTGGAAGACTTCTGCTCTAAGCTTTACCCCAGTCTCATTGGCGATGATAATACACTCATATAGCTTGTAAACTACCGAAAACCTTTTAAAGAAGAAGAAGTTGGCTGGCAAATGAAGTTAACTATTAGCTACAGCTGCTCTGCTCTGCTCTCTGTAGTGATGGAAAACTGGAGACAAAAGTCCAGTGTTTCAAACTGAGTGACTTTACTGTTATATTCAGGGACTTTCAGACACCTCTTAAACAACAACAAAAAAACAATAAATAACAAATGACTTTTCTTTGTGTTTTTAACGAATCTACGTGAGCGCAGGAATGGTGCTACCATTAGTTTCTCCAACAGCAGCTAGAGCTGTAGTGAGTCTCTCACCGCTGTCTGTCAGGCAGCTTCCTCGTCCTGAAAGCCCCACATGCAGGCAGAGAAAAGAGAATAGACCTTCTCTATTTTCCCGCAGCTAATCAGGGGCGGATCTAAAAGGGTGGCTGGGGGGGCATGGCTACCTCTAGCCAATCGTAGGTAATTCCTGCTGCCCACCTAGCAGGTGATTTGTTGTTTGTTTTGTTGTAATTTACCACCTCTGGAAAAAAACAGTTATCCACTAGACAAAATCTTGAGGTCCTTTCACAATTTAAAGTTAAGGCCTGAACACACAAGCTGCTTACGACTTTTTAATCTCCATGTCACATTGACTGCGTATAGAGAGGCCCTGGCTAGGCAGGGTGAGCAGATCTGTACAGATTTTTGTTTTTATTTCTGTGTCTTTGCTATACAAAAATTTCCACAATTTACCACATTTGACTTGGACAAATTATGAAAAGTTATAAAAAAAAGAGAAAAAGAAAAGATCACCGGCGCATTCTATAAAACAAAGGCCGACTTAACGAGTCTGTGCAGCATCTCAAACCAGAACAGATAGAGAATGTTCATATATTAAAAACATAATGAGATCTAAGTCTAAAACACAGCAATAAACACTGTGGGACGGTTTCTATGCTGACTGAGGTGATTCTCAGAGAGAGATCTGGGAAGTTTATCCAAGTTTTTCTTTCTTTTTTTTTTGATAAAGAGGTGAGAGAGATACGCCGTGCTTACTTGTTCTTCCTGCTGCTTGTTATTTTGGTTTTTGTGAGGCTCAAAGAGGATCACTACTTTATCCATTTTCTGTCCTCCTAAACTCCTATCATAGGTAGAATATTCTATTTTTAAATATTCAATTGATTGTTTTTGCACAAGTCTGTCCCGCTTACTATAAACACGATGTGCGACTCCAAACTGACTATTTCCCCGTGTGATTAACAGACTTTATTTTCTATTTTCCCCCAAAGTGGATGTGTTTTATTTTGTAACCGCATCTCTCTTCCTGTCAGATGAAATTGCTGCTGATTAGTCTGACTTAATGGTGAAAATATGCCAGAGTGACACGTTTAGAAACAACTCCCAATTTGTATTGAGACTGAAGTAAAGAGAATCTGTAAAATGATGAAAATAATGAAATTTAAAAAAATAATGCGATTTGTAAAAGGATATCTAAAAAAGAGAAATAGGAAAAAAAAATAAAATAAAACAATATATAATATAAAAGGCCCTGCGATAGACTGGAGACCTGTCCATGGTGTACCCCGCCTCTCGCCCCGTAGAAAGCTGGAGATAGGCGCCAGGACCCCTCACAACCCCAGCAGGGATAAGCGTGACAGAAAATGGATGGATGGATGGAAATATAAAAGAAATGGAAAATGAAATCTGAGAAAAGAACAAAACTACTATCAAAATCTTTTTTGATTAAGAAATCTTTTAGTTTTATTTCTGGATTGAATGTTTTAAATCAAATTTACATTTTCCACAGTAACGAAACAAAATTCCCTCCCTTTCCATCAACTCTTAGATAAATGGCAGTAAGGTCTGATGCATCTACAATGCACTGTTTCTGCCTCAGAAAATATAACAGATGTAAAAACCTGCCAGTTGATATTTAATACAAAAGGATCCTCCTAGTTGTCGTGTAGAAGATAGGTAATGATCAAATTAAATATAAAACAAGAAGACGATTTCTAATTAAAATTAGCTGCAGCACAGGAGGTAGACCTGTGTTTCAGCTTTTAGACTTTTGGGAATTCAATAAAAACGCAGCCTTGTTTTTTTCATGAGAGAGTTTCAGTTTAATAAGAAAGGAAAAATGAGGTAAGGGTGAGAGAGATGTACGTGGGAATTCAAGCAGCTCTTAATTAGTGGACTCTACTTCAGAGTGAAACCAGCACTGCGGCGGCCTCTCAATCGAGACTGGAATGTTGAATTAGATATTGAACGGGAGTCAGAAGGACAACCGGACCAAATAAGTAATTCACATCTATGTCCCTCTGTTGGTAGCTGCTGATGGACTCACCCGCTCTTTGCAAAGTTGGTCCAGTACGTCATAACCACGGCGCTGAGCATGATGTCATTCCTGGAGAAGTTGCAGGGGAACAGATCAGTGGGGCCCACCATTGGGATGCCGAATACATAAGGCACCTCATCTCCGTGCGCTGAATCGGACCACACCGGCTTCATGAGGCTCTGGCAGTGGTGATAGAAGGCGTAGAAGTATGTAGGTGAGCCGTAGCGGGCATGCAGGTCAGCTGTCACCACTGATGGCTCCACCCACTGATGGTCAGTGAAGAGGGCCACAAGGGTCTTCCTCCTGGTCTCTGGGTTGTCCTTGTCAGCCCAGTCTGTGTACATAAATTTAATTGTCTCCCTCAGGGTGTCCTTACCCTCTGGGTAACCATACAAGCTATCCACGAAATTCGCCACGGCGAAGTCAAAGTCGCTTCCGGAGACGCCGTCCTCCAGGTCCATCACGCTCTCCACGAAGCGAAGCCCCTCTCCCTGATTCACACCCAGCATGATGTCGTAATTTAGGAACTCCCCCTGCTCCATCAGGATCTCAGGATCATCTGGGATCACGTCACCGTCGATGACGGGGCCGAAAGCCACTCGGTAGCGGTCGGCCTGGATGTCTTGCTCTACGAGCTCCTTGGCGCTCTTCTTTTGTAGGCAGGACACCATGTCCACCGTGTCCAACACGTTGCAGCCAACCCTCTCAGCGAGCATGCGAGTGTACTTGACTGGGTGGTAGTTGACAGCCCAGCTGGAGAGTGCTGAACCGCTTTGGATGATGGCTCTATGGAACAGACCTTTGGGAGAGAAAACATGAAATAAATAAATATATTTCACAGGATAACATCTTGTTTTCGACCTATCAAATGCCTTCTGCTTCATTTTGCAGAGCCCTCAGCGTATCATGATTCATGTAACACTAACCATGATTCACATTTAGGATTGTTTTTACTTTCTGCAAACGACATCTACACATATGCAGGATGACAGTAATACTAATTCTGCTTTCTTTTTTTTCCTCTGCTGTAAATTCTACACCTTATATATGATATCACTTTTAAATATCATTCTAACTGTACAACAACGATATTTATCTTCTAAACTTTTAAAACATTTAACCTTTTTTATAAAATATTCTTCTTCCAACACTAGTCTGTTGCAAAAATTAGAAATATCCATTCCAGGGGTAATGGTGAGAAAGTAGTCCATGCATTTGTTACTTCAAAGCTGGACTATTGCAATTCTTTACTATCAGGCTTTTAACTACACAAACTGTAGTTAAAAGCCTTCAGCTGATCGAAATGCTGCAGCCAGAGTTCTGATGAAAATTAAAAAGAGAGATCGTATCTCTCCTATCCTAGCTTCTCTTCAATGGCTTCATGTTAAATCCAGAATATATTCTGCCTTCTTTTACACAGTAAATACTAAATGTCTGTTTGCAGCCGTTTCAGATGTTATCATACCAATAAATGGTCATTATTAGTGGCTATCAGTCCCATAGAATGGCTTCAGATTGTGCTAGTAGACTCGGTAGGTTGTTATCACCAAATGAATCCTAATCCTAACCCTTAAGTTATTCCTTTTCCTCCTGCTGAATTATTGAGTCTATTTATGTGTAATCTGAAAATGATTTCATTAGTTCTTCATGTGTTCTATAATGTAAATATAACAAAATAAATAAAAATTATCCGCATCGGACTCATGTTAAACAAACCAAAGAAACATAAATCTCCTTTCCTGTCACTGAGTTGTAGAATCCTCTCCCTATAAATATTTAAATCTCTGTGAAAAAATGCCGATCATTCTTTGATAAGATCCTGGTCAAACAGATATGCAATGTTTGTTTTTAAAAGCTAATGTATCTAACTGACCTAGTTAATGATTTTTTTTTTTATCCATAAAACTACGGCAAAAATTAGACTAAATCAGGAAATTTAAAAATGTGATTGGCTGTAGGGAGAGCAGAGACAGAGGATTCTCACAACCAGGTTAGCTCTGGGGAGAATGTTACTATGGTGACTGAAACAGAGGTTGAGGAAACTCTTTGTTAAACGGAAAACTCAGAGTTTCCCATATTTCAGGTTTAGAAAACTTAAAAGTTTTCAGTAAAGCTGCTTAGTTTCTCAGTGCTTAGTCCTGTTTCTGTCCTAGACATAATTATGGGCTCAGATTTTACTAACTGGATGTTCTCTCTTTTATCCTTTTTGACATGAAAACTGACTCAGAGCTCATCTGGTTAACCATTTCTTTCCCAGGCCGAGCCCCCTATGGAGCTAGTTTATGTTACTTTTTTATTTTCCTTCTGTGTGTCTGCCTCTTCTTCCTTGAACCGTATTGTTATAAGAATGTGCTTTATAAATAAAAGTGGTCTGGTATCACTGAATATCTGATACCTGATTCCTGCCTGTATCACCATCACTGCTTGTTGAAATAGGATAGTTTAACCTCTCCACGCCTTAATCACCAATATTTCTCTTTTCCTTTGGTTTCAGAAACCTGTATTACACTGAGATTATAAGTGTTTGTGGATCAGTGCTTCTATGTTCCTTTTGTATGTCTGCTTCTATCTCATTGAAACCTGGTCGGCCTCAGCAGAAGGCCGTTCACACAGCATGGCTCTACTGGGGGTTTCCTTCTGTGAAAAGGAGAAGAAAAGAAGTTTTTCTTCTCCATTGTTTCTGCATGGTCATCCAGGAGTAGCATGTCCTGCAAAGTTACCTGACTGAATCCAGTCAGCTGATTTAGACAGAAAGCTGAACCTTTAATCTGACTAGATGATCCGATTGAATTGTCTCTGTAAAGTGCCGTGAGATTACATGTGTTGTGAATTAGGGCTATAGAAATAAACTGAATAAAAACAAATTTATTTTAACCAGTTAAGTCCTGGTTTAGGTTTTTTTTTCAATATTATATTTTTATCTACCTCCTTTCATTCTTATTTTTAAACGTAAAATGACTGCCTTAAACGTAAAATTACAACCTGTAAAAAACAAAGAAGTATGAAATTCTAAACCACTGCAAGATAAAAGTGTAGGAGCCTAAATTCAGTTTAAGTTATGATAAAAGAAATCATCAATAAATTACAGTGTATATCAGAAGTTAAAGGTTTCTTATATGTAAGGATATTCAATATTTTTAATTGTACCGAGGTTCTTTTGCAAATGTGCACGGTTTGTCTCTGGATGTTTAGGGCTTCTGTTTCAGTGTTAGCCAGGTAATTGGAGCCACAACGTTTTTTGACGTCATTTACATTCCTCCCAATCTTCTTGATTATTTTATTTTTATAGAAGTTTTATACCTGTATTGTTTTTATTTCTTAAGTAAATGGTTGAACCTAACGGAGAGGGTCCCATTTGATCTTTGTTTTTTTCCGCCTTCAAGAGGATTAAAGAGGGGAAAAGAGTGTCAAGCTTAAGGCTTCATTACTTAGGAACCCACCAAAAGCAAATGTAAGTTATCAAACTGCTTTATAAAGAAATTGTTTTAAATTGAAGTCAGTGACCAAAAAAAATCTATCAGTGTTTATCTATATTAATAAGGATATTAGAATATATGAAATTCAACTTGAAACACACAATCTGACCACAATAATGTCATTCACTTCAGCAGACACAAAATGATATTTTGTGCTGAAATCTTTCAAGCGAGCTCAGAGGATTCACCAGATTAAAGCAAACAAGGAATGTTGTGGTTTGCTTTGATAACTCGTCAGAAGGACACAGCAGAGCAAAGACTGATGAAGCCACGACAGATGGCAGGTTGGTGAGCAAAGAAACATATAAAAATGCCTACCATGTCCTCTGCTGTTTCTTAAATTTCTACCATAAGTCTTCCTCTCTATGCAGATCACATCAGGGCATGTCAAGTTAATGGTCAATTTGCAGCACTGTGTCAGCGAGTAGGCGTCAGGTTTTTACTCCACCAGTCCTATGCAAACATACTGCAATTGTAGAATCGTTAATATGGTGTCTCTAACAAGCTGCGGCTCTACACAGACTGCTGACGCCAACTGTACAGGGGCCGGGGCTGTGCTGGGAGCTGAATATGCAGTAACCCTGATCCCTCAGTGTTGATACAGGAAACAAGCTGCTCTTTCGACCTGTTTACATGCGGCGCATCACCTCTGTCTCTGGGGGATTTGCATGTAAAAATGTCACAACCCTAACCAGACAAGTCATATCAATGTTGTGTTAAAGTTTATATTCAGAGAAAGGAAAATGCATCAGCAGGGTTACTTTCTTTACTTTTTTTGCAGGTTTTTTTCCATATTTTAAATCATTTTTTCTCAATTTCAGCGCAGTAGTGAGTCGGTCTACTTCAAAGGCAGCTGGAGGTCTTTGTCCATTTGCTGCAGCGAGTGAGCACATCCAATACAAATCCCCACCACCTCTGTTGCACTGACAAGAACACGCAAATTCTGCCCTCCTGATTTTATTCAGCATCAGTGAGGGAGCTGAAAGATAAGTAAATCAACAATAAGAGGGTTCAATTCTGAGAGGGCCACACATGCTGAAGTACAGACCTCTGAGACCTGCAGGACACTCTGAGAGGACGCCTTTTGAATGCAAAGCCTTTTGTTACCTGAGCTTCCATCACCAGTGTGGTGGGTTATATCTACTCTCTTTGGTATTTCTCTTTTTTTTTTTACTAAATCAAAACCAACAGAAACATTTGCTAAAAACATGTCAGTTTGCAGGTTATACTGTGTCTTCCAAAATCCATTCAACACAAGAGTTAGCAGAAAAAACTAAGGGGTTCAAACACGCAGTAAATACATAAGAGTTTTCTAGATATGAAAAGCACAGAAAACACAAATACTTAAAAAATATATATAAAATATAACTGATTTGTGTAGCAAATCCGCTGTAAGTTAAGAAAAGCTGCTCCAGGCCACTAGAGGGAGATGGTCTACAACTTATGTGGAATCAGACAATAGAAATTACAAAAAATGTACGACTATGGACCAGACTGTATAATTGACGACTTGACCAAAACACTAACGTAGCATAAGCTCATTTTTGCACCAGAAATACATCCAAATCGCGATGTGAAAAGAGTACAGTATTGAGAGTACTTATTTATAAAAGTACACAAAAGTATATGATGTAAAATGTTAATAATGACAGAAACCAGGTAAACCCCGCAGAAAAAAATGTATATGCTTAATATTAATATCCCCTTTAATCTGGAATTCTGTTATGACATTTTTTTGATCAGGCACTGTACACTTTATAAGTACAGTGTAATAAAGAAATAAAACCAAAAATGACCACAATCATTTGAAAATATAAAACCTAAAAATTAGCTCCTGGAGGCACATTATGGATTGTACTTCCGGGACAGAGCAGGTGGAGCATTAAAACAGAAAGGATGCAGAGACATTCCTTCTCTCAGCAAAGTCAGGGTTCCTCTAGGATTTTTAGCCTTGGTGGTTGGCTATGTCGCTAAAATACAATATATGTTAACCTAACTTAATGAAATCATGTGTTTTTAAACATTGCCTGAATCAACACTGCATACATCTAATTTTAAGTCACATGTGAGGATATGGGCTTATACCATTTTGCAAACAGAGTGGGCAACAGCCAGGTGGAGTTTGGTTTTGTTTCTGTTTTGGTTCTGTTCTGTGTTCATTTCTTTTTTGGGTTGAATAAAACTTAAAGTTTGAATAAAGTATAACAAAAAAGTAAGAATACCTCTTTTGTTAATTAGACAGATATTAGGCTTCTCATAAAAAGACTAATTTGGCCACACTGTGGCTCTCCTTTTCTTATACCTCATCCAAAATACTTACTGTAGGCCTAGACTGCTGGAGGACAAAGGGACCTCTTTTCATCATTTTGTCTCTTTTCTCCCATTCTGCAGTATTTGTTAGTTTAATCTCTATTGTTATGCTCTCTGCTTTTTCTCATAGCAGGTTCATCTGGTCTGTTCCTGTTTGGCTGTGACACCATCCAGGAGAGAAATATCAGCAGTGCTGCTGCCATCAGCATCTTCGTTTATAGATGTTGGAGCTTGGCCTGTTTTTCAGTGTAGTCCTGTTTCTCAGACTGTGACTAACTGGATGCGCCCTCCTTCATCCTCTGACATGGGAGCCGGCTCGGAGCTAGTTTGCCTGGTTGTGTGTTTCCTGGATGGGGCCGTCTGTGGTGCTGGTTGACAGTTGCCTTTTGTATCTTTTCTATATCTGCTTCTGTCTCCTTGAACCCCAGTCGACCTTAGCAGATGGCTGCTCACACCAGGCATCGTACTGGTAATATGTGATACCGGGCATTTGCCCGGTGGGCCGGTCCTAAAATCATACCGTCCCCAACACTTACTCTCTGGCTGAAGCATCTACTTGTGACACTAAATAACTCAAGGAGATCAAGAAATAATACAATGTTAACTACCTAAATGATGCATAGAGTATATATAGCCCTTCCTTGTCATGCACATCCTTGTGACGGTTGGCATATGGTGTAATTTTCTATTTCTTTAAACTGTAAAATCTTGCAACAAACTAAATTATAATAAAAATTCTTTAAACCAAACTACAATGTTGCTCTTATATTTGGCGAATTTATTTTCAAATATTTTGCAAAAATATGTACGTTGCATGATGGGGTTTTGAATCTAAAGGCTAACTTTTCCTGTCTTAGGTGCAGGGGTGTCCATAAGTGGGCCAGTGTAGATGGAAAAATCCCAGGGCCGAAAATCATTCCAAGTCCCAGCCTGGCTTACACTGAGCCTGGTTCTGGTTCTACTAGAGGTTACTACCTGTTAAAAGGGAGTTTTCCTCTCAACTGTCGCTGCAAGCATACTTAGTGTGAGAGGTTGCTGAAGAGTCAATGAGTTGATGCAATCAGCTGGTTTTCCTTAAATAGAAAACTTTGAACCAATCTGACCGGATGAGCTGGTTAAATTGACTCTTTAAAATGACCTGAAATTACATGTATTGTGAATTGGCAAGATAAATAAAATGAATTGAATTGAGTTAAATGCAAAACGATTTATTAACATACAAAACATTGCCAACTTAAGCTTAAATAAGAGGTCAGAGATAATAAATAGAGATCAGCTTGGGAGCCAAAAGAATTTATGTAAACAAGCCAAATTTTGCCTCCCTGCCTAGTGGCAAAAGGTTACACAGCATTGCTCCAAAAAGATGGTGCTAAGATCTTTCAGCCTGACATATTTTAGGGAATGTTATATTTCAATCTCCAGATGCTGCAGAGGCATCACTGGATTTGAAGGTTGAATCCAGCTGAAGGTGTTTCTATGACATTTAAAAAATTGTTCACCTTTTGTGTTAATTATGTGATAAAAAGGAAGCAGCGTAAATGTGTCTGCAAAGCAAAATCGCTAAATATCTAAAGACTTTCTTGTACGGTGCTGTCTGTTGACTGAAAATAGCTCTTTATTCTAATGTTTTAAAATAAAACTGAACCAACTGTTGAGAACTTCCCGCCGTTTTTGGTAACTATTCAACTTTGCTGAGATGCACGCGATAATAAACAGATCCATCTTGAAAGCAAATCAGTTCTATTGGTGATAATCTTGGATATTGACGCGCTGGCATGCTGAGAACTTTAAATAAAAATCAGGCTTCTTTAGGAGGATTCATTTGTGTGGAGAGGAACAAAAGCAGTCACTTACTTAATAAATATCCCATCTCACCCACCCTGTAATCATGACACTTCATCTCCCTGCTAAAACATGCATGAAACATTGTTTGAGTTCTATGGAGGGAATATAGCTTTATTATTTTTAGAAGTAGAAAATATTTTTCGTAAATACAGATAAAAAGAAAAAACAGAAATGACACATTGAAAAACTCCTTAATCAGAAGAAAAAAAAAACATTTACATTTACAGAATTTAAAATTTCTAAATAACATTTTTTTATTTCTTTTTTTCAGTATCTTTAAGAATTTCATTCTTTGGAGTGAAGAGCAAAGGTACATTTCTATTGGTTTAAACACACATTAGCAAAAATGTGATCAATGTGAGCCTCAAGAGCGAGCGTTTGTACTCAGGCTACAGCAAAGCAAATGTGATTTCTAAAACTCGATCTGAAAAATGGAGATTCGAAGAAAATAAAAAAATAAACAATCTAAGAAAGCAGCAAAGTCTATCGCATTTTGTTAGGAATCCACTTTCTGTGGGTTGTTCGTGTTTTTTTTTCTCTCCACCACCAGGTGGTGCCCCGTCCTCGTTGGGCCTCCCTGCACACCTCGTTGGATCATTATCTGGAGGAGTATTTGAGCAGTGGACTGTCACTACCTCGACGCCAGAGTGTTTGCCAATTTTGGGTAGCTGAGTTTAGCTGAGTGTATCCTGAGCCTTTGTTTCTCTGAGTCTAACATTGTTTTTGTCTTTGCCTTTCGGCAGGAAGCCTTCCTGTGTAACTGGACAACTGGCCTTTTCCCACTGGAAGGATTAACTGAGTTTACACTGAGCAGGGGAAAACACCCACATGTGCCGTTCAAGTCCCTTTCGGAAATCCAATTGATAGTCCGCTCCATTGCTCCTCCGAGTCCAACGAATGTTTACCTGTCCGCTCTCCAACGAGTTCCCTCTTCTCTGGATAAACCCAAACAGACTGGATTCAAGGATTAACAAGAACCCCCTCAAACGTGAGTCCCGCTCCAACAGTATTCTAGCCTCAGTCAATTTTCCTACGGTCCCTGAGCTGATCACTGTGATCTCCCCTACAGACTTTCCAGTTCCGGTTCACCAGTTCAAAGAGTTCCAGATCCAACTCCTGTTCTCGTTTCCTCAATAAACCTGTTTAACTTTTCCCCTGGTTCTCTGAGTGGTTCTCTGCATGTGGGTCAGATCTCTTAAAACAATCATGACACATTTATTGTTTTTATTTCGATATCTTTCAAAGTTTCTTTTCTGGATTGCATTATTTTTCAAAGAGCCATTTGAAGCAACAATAACAACCAGTTTGTATTGAATGGTCTAGATCAGGGGTGTCAAACTGGTTCCAGAAAGGGCCGTGGGGCTGCAGGTTTTCTTTCCAACCAAGCAATAGCACACCAGACTCCAGTCATCTCATCAATGTTCAGATTGGACTCACTTGATGAGATGACTGGAGTCTGGTGTGCTATTGTTAACTGAAGAGGTAAAGCATATTTTATATTCTTACCCTCTGAGTGATGGGACAGGGTCAGCAGACTGACGCACGAAGCTCCAATCCCAGATCCGAAGACTGTAACGCGGCCCGGATCTCCTCCGAAGTAGCCAATGTTTTTACTTATCCACCGCAGGGCCTGAATCTGATCCAGGATGCCATAGTTTCCCTTTGCTGCTTGGTCACCAGTGCTGAGGAAACCTGGAGAAAACAGAGAAGCAACACATCCAATGCTTAGGTTAGGTCTATGTGCACTATAGAGGAGTCGCATCTCTAATCCAAGGCTGCTGCCCAGCAGGGAGCCTGAGAGAACAGAAACAGATTCCCCCTCAGGTGTAAATGCAACTTTGTTCTCTCCTGCTGTGTCTCCCTTTTTTGAGTCTCTTTTCTCAGATCGGTCACTTTATTTCATCCCACGTGCATGAATGGTGTTAAACTCAGAGCCTCTCTCCATCCTGTCAGGTACTCTCCCATCTACTGTAGCTGCATTTAAAATCCCATGAATGGTTAACAGGAGCACTGACCTTGTAAATGATCAGAAATGCTGCAGCATTTATCATCTAAAGCATTTTCACTCTCAAGAAGAATAAAGGTTGATAATCTTGTACTGATAAGATAAATCTCTGGACAAAAAATAAACCAACTGCAACAAGGAGTTTAGGCAGAGAGAATTGATGAGCATTTGCATTTTTATTCCTCTAAAGAAATAACACAGACTCCTTCAGTGGTGCATAGACCTAACATGCTTAGATTTTCACGTATATTTGAGCTGTTTTTGTTCTATAGTGATAAAAAGATCCACTAATTTCAGGTAATGCTGTCAGAGCAAAGCTTTGCAAACTGTGGTTCATAAGGCGATGATGCAAAGCTGTTATGATGCTTAAAGAACAACACATTAAATATTATGTAGGTATTTACTTATTGCTTATTTGTTGGAATTATTTTAACGAGTAAAACAAATATTAGCTGGTTAATTGGTCAGGTTATCTGTTAGATAAGACTGTGACTTTCACTGATCAAATCTTATAAACAGAATTTTTAGCATCTTTTTTTTATGTTTTCCCCAATAAGCTGGTTAAGGTTTTCAGAGCTAGAAATGCTTCCAAACATCCAACAAACATTTTTCTTCTAAGTGGAGAAAAATGAGAGGAAGCCATTTTTTAGCCAGCTGACACCAGTTTTGCAGGTTAGCCTGTTTATATAGCAAATGCAAAAAAAAAAAAGATGGTATTTGAGTGCCTAACATTTATGTGTTTGTCTATGTTTTGTTTTTCTTCCCCCAAAAACACATACCAAACTGCACTGTAAAAAAGTTTAATAATTTATTTTCTGAGAAAATAAATGCATTTAAATTCTTCCTGTTTTAGCACTCATCTGTGGGCGTTCCATCCTGGAAATGGTGCTACTTAAGGGAGCTAACTTTTTCAGCTTTGTATTTATACATAAATATAGTCTTTTCGAGTTTTACTTTTGCCTTCTTTTTAACCTTATGAAATAAAATGCATAATCTAAAGAAATAATCAACTCAAATGCAGATACACACGGTGTAATCATATTTTCCTGGACTGGTCTGTGCATGTCCGATGATGAGATCAGACAAGCACTTTAATGGAGAAAATGTAAAAAGATTAATATTGTCTCAGAAAAGTCCTGATATATTTTTACATGTAGTTAAGTAATCATTGGTGATTTAAGGATATAAATGAGTACTTTTCCTACCATAATTATACTGTTTATGGCTAGAAATACTTCCAAACAGCCAACATACATTTCTAAGTGGAGAAAAATGAGAGGAAGCCATTCTGGATAAATATCTGCTTGCACATGCACAAATAACAGCTTCTACAACCTATTTCTAAGATGAACTCAGAATAACAATTTTATTGAAGTCATCCCAATATATTGGTCTTTTGCATATTTGCTACATTAGGCCATTATGTTAATGCTAAGTCTTAAACAATGCTGCATTCAGGGCTGATTTCAAGGCGGATTTTCTTTAAGAAAAACCTTAACTTAAGGTTATCATGCTTAGTTGCCTTTAACAGTTTTCATAAAATAAACATGCAGGTACAAATACCTTTTTTATTACTGAGTTATGTGTTTGTAAATATTGGTGTTAAAGCTGTTTTTTTTTTTTTTTTCTTTTTTACAAATTCTCATTATGTTGAATGTCATTTTAAATACATTGTTGCAGTGTAATACATTCATTTTCTGCTGTTGAAATCATTTTCATCACTGAGTTTTGGGCCTTTCAGACAGGACAAGTTTTGTGCTTCATTTGCGGCGGGGTTCACAGAGGATTGGCGCTCACTTGTGTTGTCAGCTGCGAATATGCATCTAAATCATGCTAACAAGCAAGAGTTAGTCTTAGCTCTGTTAGTTAGGAGAAGAAGATAGGCAGTTCTGGCTTATGAAAGACTTCTGATTTCACAACAATAGTTTCCAGGACTAGTTTTGGTTCAGTAAAGGTCAGTTTGAGAGTTTTCTGGTGAGAATTGGACCAATGCTCTCAATGATCAATACATTACACAGTACCAGCTACTCCGCTTTTTTGCTCTTTGATCTCCTGCCTTATGAAACAGTTTGTATAGGCTGTGCGTCTGCTGTCCTGCCTGAAAGACCAATTATTTTTCTTTCATAATAGATCATAAAAACTTTTTTTTTTTTACAACAAATATCATTCATTAAATGATGCAGATCTCTGCTCAGGTCCCCCTTGAAAATAAGATCCAGATTTCAACGGGGTTTACTTGGTTAAATAAAGGAAATAAAAAAAATAAAATAAATGTCACTTGTTTAAATGAAATCAATGACTTCAAGGCAAGAGAAGTGATATTTTATTTCTATGTTTATTACAATTTTATTGCTCTAGTTAATGTTCATTTTGACCATTAGGCCCGTTAGGCGACGTTGGTTCCCTGATCTTATCTAGAAATGGGCTCCCAAATCAAACCCTGCTTAGGTCCCTATTCAACTGTGGACTGGCCAGTTTTCACATATATGGAGCTATTTTTTTCCATTATTGGTGTGAGCAAAAACTTAAATGTGAAAAAACAGTAAAGTTACTCTTAAAATAATTTTTTTTGATGAGGCAGCATTGGTATGGTTTCATTTCTGGATTGCCTTTTTTTTCTTAATTTTCATTTAACTAGTTTAAAAGTTTTTTTTTTTTTTCCATTAATAAAGGAACAAGATTCACTCCAAACACACACTCTGTATCATCACCTAATATTCCGATCCTGTAGTTGAGCGTGACGACGACGACGTTCCCATAACTGGCCAGAATGCTGCCATCCATCATGTTCCCAGTGCCCTCCATATAGGAGCCTCCGTGGATGTAAACCATCACAGGTCGGGCTTCCGAATCCCTTATATCTGTAACACACACGCACAACCTGAGCAAAGAGGTGAAGGTACAACAGCAGTGAAGTGGAGAATTAATGGAGAAGTGTTGCTGAAACTTTATATCACATTGCCCGGTATGAGGTATGAGAGAGGTCTGCTAAGAAAATGTGCTTGGAAGCGAGCCAGAGCGGTAGGCCTGAGCTATAAAAGCTGTAATGACAATCAAAACATGCCCTGTAAATACACTCTGACAAGAGTTATGAATCTAATCAATGGTTCTTTATGGAATATGGAGGTGTCACCCAAAGCAAACTTGCATATGCAATTCATCAAACATATTCTGTATCAGATGTAAAGAGGAGAAAAGGTTTGACCCAAGCAATGAGAAACACATAGTATCAATATATAATATGCACATGCAGACATAAAACATGATCTTTTTCTATTGTGTATTTGAACTCAGAAGCACGAGTTTACATTAAACTTCTGGTCTCTGCTTTTTTTTTTTTTTTAAAGCAAATTAGTTTTTTAGAGAGACTTTTAAGAGAGATGAGCAGATAATTCAGTCTGTGGAACAACAGAGACGGTGCACTTACTGAGACGACTGCAACATTTCCTAATTCAGGACAGGGGATGCACTAATAGAAAGCCTACAGCATTACAAATCAGATGACCTTATTTCATGTCACTCAAAGAAAGAAAAAAAAAACAACAACAGTCGTCTGGAAAAGGTAAAAAAAAAAAGAAGAAGAAAAAAAAGATTTGAGGAAGAAGAATCCATGCATCAAAACTTTGAGCTCTTAGAGAAATACCTTCAGATATATGAATCTCAGCGTTTGAGAAAGCCGCCCCCCTTTTCTTGTGCTGGCTCCCTGGGATTCAGAAAGGAGGGAAAAAAAAGAGGTAGAAAATTCAAAAAAAAAAAAAAAAAATCATGGTAGTTTTGAATGTGCCTCTTCTTTAATGTATAGCGCTCCGATCAAAGAGGCAGCATGAGGAGGAGAGAGCCAGGATCTATTTTTGGTGGAGGAACAGGAGACTGTTAAAGAAAAAAAAAAAAACTGCTTCTTAAAACAAGAAAAGGTTTGTTCGCTCATAAAAAAGTACCCCCGAATCGCTATGTCTGTCACACCATATCTTTTAAATATTTTAAAGCATTAAATCTGTTATAGATTGTTAAAAAAATAAAATAACATTTTGAAAAATCAGTACTGATGCATAAAGGTGCGGATTTCATCCATGCTTTTTCAGGCGTTCTTTGTGATTTTGTTGCGGCCGGTTAACAAGTTAAATACTCAAATACATTTAAAATGAATAATTACCAAATTTTATGTTATTTTAGATAAATAATCTATTCAAAATGTTATATAATTAACTCAAATATAGAGTGATCACATATTTTTTTCGGGGTCACAAGTCAGTTGCATTGTTATTTCTTGGGGTCCAAGGCTGACCTTAGTGGAACCCTGTGAAGCTACTTTGGGTGGCCATTTTATTTTAAACAGGCAACTTCTAGCCATTTTTTTAAAGCTTTTCTGAGGGTCATCAGAGCTGACCTTCACACCATGCAGGGCCTTTTTCAGTCATAGTATTTCTGCAGAGCCTACACATTCTGGACACAAGCTGTTACCTTCAGGCTGGCAGTACAGAGTTCTGTCTGCAAACAACAGCCACTAGAGGACAGTTTCTTCCTCCCAGTCTAATAGACAAGATGAAAACCTCACAGCTGCTCCTCTATGAAACAAAAAGAGTTTATTTCCAGCTTCATGGCCTCCCGACCCTTTCTTTTTTAACATATTTAAATGGAATAATTTAACATTCTCCTGGGCCTTCTTCATGTGGGGATGATTGGCTCCCACTGAGGTTTGCATTTAAAGGTCGGGGCTCACCTAACTACTTTATTCAGACCTGAGACGCTTCAGAGATTAAGCACAGATCCATAAAGGCGACGCCCAGCCTGCAAGGGTACAACTTTCCTTAGGCTACAGTTCTTTCTTGTTCTTTCTTTTATCTGCAGCCTAGATCTCGATCGGGCCTTAATTTTAATGATTTCTGGAATGTTCTCTCAACACTTGTCTGGAAAACATTTTCATAACAACTTGAGTACAGGAGCTTTTAAAAATATTTAATAAACCTCAATATAAATGAAGGGTGTTTATGTGTAAAATCTGAGTTGAAAGCTTCCATCTCCAGCACGCATCTGCATGTGAGTTAAATCATTTTAAATGAAATCCCTTTGCCAAGTTAGCAATTATACTGTTAATACACCAACATTTCTTCTGTGCTTAGGGAATCAGGCCACAGGAAGACAAAATGTACTTCAGTCCTAATTTTACTTCCATCTGATTTCTTTACATACTAGACTGCAAAAAAAGATTCAGAAATAGCTAAAGATTTACTGTAGTAATTATAACAATAATAATAATAGGCATTTTCTTTAGACAACAGTTGGAAGGCTGCAAACTAGAACTAATAGAGGGGGGGCGACAACCATCAACTCATATGAGACGACTTTATTAGTTAATGTATATGGACCAGACCCTTAGCATAGATTTAAACAGGATGTAGCCCAGAGGACATCTGAAGGGCAGAAAGAAAACAAAGTTTTCCTTTGCATCGTTTAGATAAGTTTAATCTCTCTAAGCATCCCGTTTATGCCTTTACTGATTGTCTCCCCCTGATGGTCTGGAGCTTGTGCATTTTAACGCACTGGTTTGCAGTTATTCTTCCTAATTGCAGAATTTTTCCTTTGCATGTGTTTTGTCTGTTTACTGATTCACTGGAAAGACTGATCTAAAAATAAGTAAATATTTGTTAGAATAAGTGTATTGGACCTTAATTTGAGCAGGTAAATACAATGACAGTGGAATGAGGATTTCTGTACTTTGAACAACATAATAAATAATAAGATATCATCCACTTGAAATAAGATAAGGGAGTTTTTTTTTCTTATTATTTTTAAACATAAATTAGCTTATTCAATTGGCAATTTTTTAATTACTAAAAACAAAAATATGAAATACACTTATTTAAAGAAAATATTACTTACTTATATAATTTTTTTTTATAGTGTTATTGTGTTAGTGCTGTATTTGTCTTTTGCTAGTCTCATTTCTTTTGAATTTGATATGACATTTACGAAGCCTTTGCAACTAATAGCCACCGTAGTAATTGATGTTGGGTTCGGCTCAACAAACTGGACTCTGCATAACGAAAATGTAAGCTATGATTCTTTAAAGTAGAGAATCAATTTTATATTCATTCAGATAAATTTGGATAGCTTTCTTGTGTAACAAATCATATAAACTATAGCTTTCCCAGATAATGAATTTTGTTAACAATCTATAGTGTGACAAAAAAGTGAAAAACATTTTAAATCTGTAAGGAGGGGATTACTTTCATAACTCTGCACTCAGAAACTGAAATTAAATGATTCATTACGTGAGATTAATCAAAGGTGAATCTTTCATTTATGCTGTCTGATACTGCAATGTCTAATGCTCAAACAAACCACTGCAGAATACAACATATAAACAATGAATATTGCTCAGTATGACACCTCAGAAGATCCACTCAAACAGCTAGATGAGCTGCATATTAGTTTTAAAGAAAACAACAAGAGGGCATTATTATCGAGATCCCTAATTACATGGGTTACATCTAAAATGGACTAAAACATGAGGTTCTAGAGGGTCATGGAGCTTTTCTAGCAAATTTTTAAAGGGGAACTTTAATTGACCAGCTCCTGCGCCAGGTGGCCAGGCCTATCGAGAGCACTCAGGCGAGAGGCTTTATGAAATGCATGGGCTGCACCATTTTGGACAGCTCCCTTTCAGACAAGCTGTTTATCGACTGTTGCTATGCTACCACATCAAAAAAAAAAGAAAAAAAAAAGAAAGAAAAACTGTTTTAAAGAGCAGAGTGGCAAAAACACAAGCAGAACCCAGTTCAATGCTGAATGCTGACTGTTTTGCAGGCGCCTGTGAGGGGAGCATGTCCTGCAAGCGGGCAAATCTGGATTAATTAGGATCTTTAATTCAACGAAGAAATTAAGAAAAAACTGTTGTCGCAGAATTTCTAAACCGCACAGCGTTACTGCCATGTTACATTGTTCTCTTAATCTGCAGACTAACAGCAGACACAAAAAATGTTCCCTCGCTGGATCGCTTTAGATCAGGAAGACGAAAGGATTCAACACGCCATAGACAGTTGACTCCTGTGCTTCCTTAATTGGCCCCCAACAGACACACTGAACAAAGCAGTGACTCGTTATTGAGCAGAATATTTTGGCAAAAAAAAAAATGGATTTAAACAAAATAAACTTATTTTTAGGAAAATCTTACATGACAAGGGCTGAGATGAGATTTCAAATAAGTTATAGTATTTATACAACTGAATAATAATAATAATAGGAATTGAACTTTATTGATCGCACATTGGAGAAATTTACCTCTGCATTTAGCCCATCCCCTTGGGGAGCAGTGGGCTGCCATTGTGCGGTGCCCTGGTAGCAGTGTGAGGTTGAGGGTCTTGCTCAGAGAACCAGAGTGGCAGTCTGTGGGAGTGGGGCTCGGACTCAAAACCCCAGGATTCTAAGTTCTATGTCCTAACCACTATCCACCACACCCCAATCAACACAATGTGTAGCACTATATGGTTAATTTTAATTTTTAAAAAACAAATGTTATTCAAAGTGATATTAATTTCAATTGGAAAAACACCTGGTGCCCTTATTAACTATTTCAAATGCTGATCTCTACATAACAAAAATACAAGACAATATTAGCAGGTTAATTAGTCATGTTATCTGCTCTGGTAGCCAGTTGTATAGGGTCCCATAAGGAAGAAAAATATGTTTTTGCTTCTTAAGGCTTATACAGTATATGTGGAGGACCAGAAACTGAAAAGAGTATTACAGAAGAATTATAATTTGTTCTAATAATTTATAATTTAATACTGAATTTGAAAATATAACGTCAAAATAATTCCCTTTTCTACTTCCATTTTCTTTTTCAACATTTTCTCATACTTTCTCTCCTATTCAGTTTTGTATTTTCCTGACCCAAAAGCATCTTATTAAGAGGTTAATAAACTCTCTTAACGTTTTCTCTTTTCCATTTAGCTTTTGTTTGACCCTTGTTAATAAACAGTAAAGAAACTGTTAAAGCCGTCACTAAACTGTTTATAAGCTGTTGCTAAAAACATTTGCAACAGGGCTTTTATTAATTTTTATGGATCTTAAGGACCCATGGGAAAATGTAAATGTTCAACAAAATTCAAGGACTTTTGAGGACGGGTGTTTTTTCAAGGCTGTGTTCAAAAGTTTTAAAGGCCCAGAACTTATTTTTTCAAATTCAAAAACTTTCAAATATCTAGGACCTGGGGGAACCCTGCTTAAAGCGTTTTCTTTCTCTAAATCAATGGTTCAAGTCCCCGCCCTCCCATCCACACACACACACAGAGTGGCTGAAGCAGATATCAGGAAAATGAACAGAAAAAACGCCACATTGTGAGGAGCTTCCACCTAAATTCTCAGGAGATAATGGTCCAGTTTCTGCCTCCACAGTGACAGCCTCTCACACATAAAAAACACCCAGCCAGGATAAATGAAAGTTTTACCTAAATAAGTCCCTGTGGAAAAAAACGTTCCAGGTCTGTTCATGCCTTTGTCTCACTTTAACTGGTTCATTTATTGTTTGCTATAACACAACAGATGTATCATCATAGCTGATAAAACTGCTGCACTGCACGTAAAACTAATCCATTATCTCTTTTCTCATATATTGAGCAACCCGTCTCTTTTTATGCTTTACTCTGGAAAACTCAGCTGTCCACCGCTGACTCCCACGACAAGCTGGGCTTATGAAGCCCCATCACCTTCTGCTCGGTACAGGGAGAGAAAACTGCTGTCACTTTCTGTGACATCTCATTAAAAGGTCTTTAAACTGGGAAGTTTTGAAGTCAGAACTTTTTAAACCCTAAGCATAACGAGCCCATTCCTATTCCTTATGAATACTTTTAAACCTGAGGATTTTTTTTTCTTTTTTCAAATTTTCGAAGCTAAAAAACACCTTTGTTTACTTTTTGTGAAGTTTGACAAAACATTCAGTGTCTGTTGGAAGGTAAAAATAAGTTAAACTGTACAGTGAAAAGTGCTTCTGAATAATTAGGTTTCCCTTGATTCAAGAAAGTAAGTAAAATAGCTGATGGAGTAAAATGATTTACATTAGAAAGAAGAAAAAACATTATATGTTATTCTAAATGCATAATATATAATTACCTTGTATTAGGGGGATAAACGCGCTCCATTGGCAGACATTTACCTATTTTTAAATCCTAATCATAGCAGCACACAAATAACGCAAATAGATTTAAATCCTTTTTTGCAGTGTATAACATAGTGTAATGTTAAACTTTAAAACTGATCTAATTTCTTCAAAAATGTATATGTACCCTTAATTTGGCTGAGTTAAAAAAGATGATCTACCGATGGCATGAGTATTTTTTTACTTAAAATGTCCCCTTCTTTCATTTAGAGGATGGAACCAACTAAAGTAAACCACCTGGGATTGGATACTTTTCTAGATATCCACATGTCAATTTATTCTTTATTTATTTTATGACAAAACATTTTCTCTCAGCACTTTTTATTTAGTCTTAATTAACATCAGTTTTTGTTATTGGTGTGAAAATGTGTTCTATGCAATATATATTTATTTTACTTTCAAAATTATTTCCCCTTTTAAACCACTTTTTTTCTTGAATTCAATAAAAATATAAAAATAAAACTAATGAGGTGTAGGTCACATGCGTGTGTTTTTAATGAAACTGCTCATATGAGTATTTATTACACGTGTGCACTTTTGGCAGAATTCTACCTTCACATGAAACCCACCTATTAGATATGATGCTGTTGGAATGGTTTAATAGAGTTATTTATTTCTTATTTTCAACGTATATCATCTTATTTCATTGGAATATTGGCTTACCTGCTCAGATTAAGGGAAAATACACTTTTTCAAGATAAATTGGCTTACTTAGATTTCAGCTTTTGCAGTGTAACCCATAAACCAAACTGCTTGTGCAATGATGTTATCATATAAAAACATGGTGGCGTTGCTTTGAATGTTAAACCAGCCTGTGGAGGGAGCGGTGACATGAGTAGTGGTTGCAGTTCATGGTGATCACAGAGCAATGAATCCTGCAGAGAAGCAGCAGCCAGTGAGCAAAGGACCAGGAAGGAGAATCATGGGTTTTTGTCCCACACACTTACCGTCCTCCGTCGGGGTGTAGATGTTTAGATACAAACAGTCCTCGCTCTGATCCTGAATGTAGGTGGCTACGGTGTCCAGGTTGTAGGTGAACCATATGGGCATCATGATCTCCGGCGCCGTGTTGTGGATGTTCTGGGGGCACACAGGCATGAAGTGGGTGGCGTTCTTGACGCCCGACCATGGTGATGGCTGGTCGGGGGGCATGAAGCGCTTTTCCCCAACAGGCGGGGCGGCGTAGGGGACTCCGAGATACTGATCGACAGGTCTGAGGACCTCGCTGGGCACAGGCACCCTGAGGCCCCGTAGCTTCCCAAACTGGGTGGTCACAGTCGGGTAGAACTTCTGGGTTGTTGCTTTGGCCAGGGAGCAGTAAGAACATAACATCCACCAAAGGAGAGCGCAGCGAGCGACGGCTGCAGGTCCTCTCTGATTTAACAGGTGTGCAGGCAACAGATGGCCTCCAAGTGTAGCCAGCATGGTCTGGGCAGGACAGGGCGGTGTACAACACTAATGCACAATCTAGTGTCTGTTTAGACCCTCTGCGCTGACCCTGTCAAACAGGCATCACTCGATTCGTCTTTAAATCCAACGGTTGTCAAATCCCAACAAGTTGCAGCCAGAAATGGATAGGCCCTGCTTCCTGTTTTCATGTCAATGTGCATAGATCTAAAAAACAAGAAGAGATCCATAGGACAATTAGTAGGCCTCAAAACATTTGATAATTTAACATTAAAATTCAGGGAGCAAGAATTTAAAATGCTTGGATTCAAGGACCTTTGTTCCTTCAACTAGTTGCCCATAGGAAAACGTTACTTGGATATAACCTGACAGAATATCTTCAGAACAGCTCCAAATGACACAAAACTTGAACACAGAGCATTATGTAATAACGTAAAATAAAGGGCCCAATGTAAAAAAAAAAAAGGATTCCCCTTAAAGTTCTCAAAAATAAGTTTACATAATTTTCTTAAGTTAAAGTTATCTCCATCCATTTTATAATGCAGGATTCACTCCAAGGACCTTACTGCTGCAAAGAAACATCACGATAATTTATTTTACTTCACAGAGCCACCAGCAAAACAGTCAAGATAAAGAATCTGCTCCAGTTCTAACCAAATATCCTTTGAGAAATATATCAAAAACTAACAAGAAGCAAGTTTCATAGGTATGTTTGTATATCTGAGACTATAAGTACAATTTTGATCCAAAAAGTTAAATCAAACTTTGAGCTTCTAAGTCTTGTTTTTAAAAGTGTTTTTTTAAGATTCCTATAAATTAGCATCAGCTTTGCTGTAAAGCTAAGAGTGTGTTTTTAGAGGAGGATGTGATGCCATACGCTGATAAACAAAACCAAACAAATATGGAATGAGCATTTATTTTTAAAGGTTTACATCTTTCAACTCAAGCTTCTTAGATCTTTGACAACCGCAACTCATTCATTGGTTTTGATCATATTCCACATAATCTTTCTATTTCCAGAATGATAAAATAGGGAGATGTTTGATAACTGAGTAAGAAAAGAAATCCAATATATTCCAACACCTAAAGCTCTATACACGCTTTTACCCTTAATTGGGGGAATTCATGGCTTTACATACAGCAGAATACTAATCTTCTTATCAAACAAACTGAAATCTGGAAAGAACAACTCCAGATAAAAGATGTTAAAAACCTTTTTGATTTTTCTTTAGGTAAAAGGAGCCAGACGAACAAAAAATGAAAGAAAATTCTTTTATTTAGAAAGGAGATTAAAAAGGCACACTCTCCAGGAATAAAACAAGCCTCTGACTTGGTAACGCTTTACTGTTTCATTTCCACTGCATGATGGACGGATCGTTTGTCTCTTAGTACATCTGAGCAGTACTGTTAGATACTGACACAGAGATGCATAATGGAAGTGTTGCACATTCCCAGAATAAACATGTCTGATGGGACTCCACAGGCACCGACCCTCCACATACAGATAAGTATATTTAGGTTTGCTGAAAGTAGCCAGAATATCTTCTAGGAAGAAGACAATGTGACTTAGAGGCTTCATCATTGTGAATGTTTTAAAAAATATTTAGGTTTTACTTTCGATCCATTTCAGCAACAACTTACTGATTGTAAATAAGCAATACTTCCTCTATTTTTGAATTAAATACTCCATCCATACCATGTTTTTACATTCTTTCTTAAAATCAAATAGCAGAAATAGACCCCTAAATTCTGTATTTAGTCTTTTTCTTTTCTATCTGTGATTCTATCAAATGAATTCATTTAATGGGTGGAAAAGAAAAACAATATTTCAATACAACCTCAAAAACTTTTAGCATCTCTTAAGGTGCATTCAGACCAAAGGCAGTGTCCTTAACAAGGGCGGTGGAGTAGCATAATCGGGTGTGTTCGATTTCAGGCGCTGCGTCCTCCAAGGACCCAGACCAGGTAGACTGGGTCCTTGGAGGTCCGTGAAAATAAGGAGGCTGGAAGAGTTTGGCTATGTATTTAAACAGGCCCAACCTTCTCTGGCTAGGCCTATTTGATAGAGCCCAGTTTAGTTGGACTACGCAGCCAATCAGCAGCAATTTCATGGGTCTGACAGGATGAGAGACATGGTGACAAAGTAAAACACATCCGCTTTGGGGGAAAATACGAAAAAAAATCAGTTAATTGCACAGGGAAATAGTCAGTTTTGGAGTCACACACCGCATATATACTGTAGTAAGCAGGACAGATTGGTGCAAAAACTATGAAAGAATTAGAAACAATAGAAAATTGAGCATTTTTTTCTATGGATAAACTTTACATGCACAAGTTCACCCTCACAAACAACTACAGGTGCTAGGCTTCAGGTACTTAGAGATTCACTTCCAAACAGAAACCCCACACTCATATCTTCAGGTAACACAGAGTACATGTCAGACTTAATAATATTACTTTAGCGATAGTTTCAAGGTGTTGATTTATTGTATATCTCGTACCATGTCTTTCGGTTGTGCTGTTCCTTTTTCATCTCGTTACAGGTGATGAAGCAGACTGAAAATGTTTTGTCATTGTCCCCTTTCTATCTCCTCTTTCTTTCATCTTTTCTCTTTTTTTCTCTTTTTTCCTTTTTCTTCTTCTGTTTTTCTGCTCTATTTACATTGCAGTGTCCATATAAACTGTAAAACTCCCTGCATAATTATAATAAAGCAATTTATATGCATGAAACAAGTGGAGCAATATGGCAATTGCCATACTGCTCCACTTGTGAAAGTAAAATCTGTTGGGCTCTTTTTGGCATCAAGACAATTATTCTTATTGCCACATTGCCAGACAGGACACTGTAAAATAAAAAGAAAAAAAAGAAACAATAGAAAATAAAACTTTACCCATAATAGGAGTTCAGGACAGAAAACTGATAAAGTAGTGATCCTCTTTGAGCCTCATGAAAAAAAATGAGGGGCAGGCAGAGCAAGGAAGCCCAGTGTATCTCTCTCACCTCTTTATGAAAAAAGAAAGAAAAACTTGGATAAACTTCCCAGATCTCTCTCTGAGAATCACCTCTCTGCCTCAGTCAGCACAGAAACCGTCCCACAGCGTTTATTGCTGTGTTTTTCTGTTCTTTAGACGTAGATCTCATTGTTTTTGATATATGAACATTGTCTATCTGCTCTTGTTTGAGATGCTGCACAGACTCGTTTAGAGGTGCTGTGCTTTATATAATGCGCCGTCCCCCCCCGATTTTCTGAAATAACTTTTCATAATCTGTCCAAGTCAAATGTGGGAAATTAATTTAATTTGTGTATAGCACAGAAACAGAAGAGAAAATAATCTGCGCAGATCTGCTCATCCTGCCTAGTCGGAGCCTCTCTATATAAGGTCAGTGTGACATGGAAAAAAATCGGATTGAAGATTAAAAGGTCTTATGAAACTGTTATGTTCGGGCTTTTACTGTCTGATGGCTGCAGCCAGAGCTGCCATGGGTTTCTCCTTACTTCCCTCAGCGCTTCTTCACAGGTAGCTGTCTCGTCCTGAAAGCCCCTAATGCAGACAGCGCAAAGAGAGCAGAAAGGAGACCTTCTCTGTTTTCCCACAGCTAATGTAAAACATACAAAAAAACTACCAATAATTTTGCCCTGGATTACAAAGCAGGAAGTAAATTTGATGGGAATATAGTTTTCAATCTTTTTGCACTGAAATAATAACCTGGTTAACACACAGCCTAAATCCCTTATTTGTCTCAGATTACCGTCTGCTTGGTCAAATTAGACGTATGCAGCGTGGATTCAGGTGAAGAATAAGAATTCCTACATTATCTCACACAGTCATGTTAAGGTGAGTTGCATTTCGATGACATAGCTCCCCACCACCACAGTTAAATAACATCCTAAAAGAAAGACTGCACTGGTTTTAAAACTTCTACCATCAAACCTGAAAACTACTTGGGTTGTTTTGTATTTACCTAGTTTGTCATAAAGAAAAATGCCTGCTGTCTAACCCTGGCCTGTCAATGAACAAAGCAAAACAGGCTTGTTAACCTAATCAGATTTATAGATGAGCTTCTTCAAAAGATTGCCGCTACAAGCTCCATTTTTAATCCGATGAACCTATCAACAGAGGGGACAATTTCCCCTGACTCACACACTAAGGTAATTAACCATATTTCTGATGCATCCAGCTTTCCTCTGCCTCTAAACCATTTTGTATGCACTGTGGGGAGTGTAAACACACACACAAGTACACGGACGTAAAGAAGGTGGCTCTGTCTATCTTTTCACAGGTGCTGTGCATCAGCTAACAACAACATCATTACTGCCTGCCAATTTGTGAGCGATGAGACAAATCAGATCACTTTTCCACTCACGCTATCACAGAGGTTCATGTGAGAGGAGCTGGACTTGTATGCTCCAGGCCCAGCTTTGTCCATATTAATTAACAGTCACAAATGTTCCCTACAGCCAATTAAAAGAAAGACAGAAACTGAGAAGGGTTCACCTATCTGCCATATGACAATGACATAAAGCTCCCAGGACATTAACAAGGAAATGGTTTCCCCTGAGCAGATAAGGCCACATCTTTTGGTTCGAGGGTGACATGGATGATCTATTCCATAAGAATTTATTCTGAAATTGTTGTGAGACATTGCTTTATTAGGAAAAAGGTGTCGTATTGTAATCTGTGTTTACCAGCATTTTACAAAGATGTGGTGGCTGAAAAAATGTAAAAACAACCGGAGGGACTAAAAATGTAAATGAATTCCTAAAATGATTGTCATTGCCCTTTAAATATCACAGATGGGGCGCAAGTATCAGTCGGCGTAGATCTTTCACTCTGATGTCAGATGAAATGTCTAATTTAACCAACAGAGCAGGGGGAACAGGGATTCCTTTAGAGCTATTCTCTGTAAAAAAGAGGACCTTTTAACGGTTCTAAATGTTAGTGATATAATTATTTAAGTAAACTTGAATCAAGCACATTAATTAAACTTATATGCAATAAACGTTTACCACAAAATGTTGGTTTTATCAATGTAAAATGCATTTATTTTCTTTTGCAAAGAAAAATAAAAGTTAAAAATGGTTCTAAAAACACATGCTTCATAGCAATAATATAGGTTTTTGTCCAGTAAGCAACATGCCAGCGGGCTGAGCTGCTTGACTGCATGGCAGCCATTTTTAAAGACAGATTCTATTGCCCGCCCCTGCGGCTCCAATGAGTTTTCTTAAAAATGTTTTAAAATGGAAAAGATGCATTTTTGGTTTGATTTTTTAAATATAGTTTGCAGGAGGTCAAACAAATATCCCTTATGTTTTCCAATGCTGTAAAAATTGTTTCTTATAAATAACTTTAAGCACCAAATGTAAACATTTCTGTAAAGGAAGATTTGCCTCATAGCCTGCAACACATGTTTTAGCACAGCGCGGTGCCGGGCACGTGGCTGTTGTAAACAAAGCGGTGGATTTGTCTCATTCCATCGATACCAAAGATTAAACAACAAAAAGGAAGATAGCTGATGAGAACAGGGGATTCAAAGAAGAATGGACTGAATATATACCAAATCGTAAAAAGAGTCACTTGGAAATGCATTTCCCGGGTAGGCATGCTACATATGCAGGGGACCACCGAGTTGGGAGTGAGAGAGAAAATTAGATTGCAGACCTTCTGGATAAATTAGAGGAGACCAAAGATAGATTTGAGAAGTTGAGTGCATCTCCAAACTCCAGTACTCTTGCTAGTTTTGTTTCAAGCATAGAAAACCGTTAACAGATCAAACAGGTAGCGCTCTGATGCAGCGATTGGAACTTTCTTCCAGTTCAAAGAAATTTACCTTCATTGATCTCACATTGGAGAAATTAACTCTTTGCATTTAAGCAGTGGGCTGCCATTGTGTGGCGCCCAGGGAGCAGTGTGGGTTTAAGAGTCTTGCTCAGGGACCCAGAGTGGCAGTCTGTGGGAGTGGGGCTCGAACTCAGAACCTCAGGATTCCAAGCTCTATGCCCTAACCACTAGGCCGCAACTCCCCCGTAATAGATTAATATTGTAATGGAGTTTATACTTACAGCACCAAATATCATACAGCAGCGTAGTCACATGATGTGACGTTTGCTCTAGGATAAAAATTTAATCACGAATGCCTATTATATATTTAAGCCTATGTAGTCCCTTATTAAAATGGGTTAATACACTTAGAGTCCCTGTTGCCATAGTAGGCTTACATAAGACTTCTACATTTTTGCGGCTCCAGGCAGATTTTTAACCCACAGCATGAAACTGCTGATAGGGTTCACCTTTCAGGATTTTGTCTTCTGAGTTATATAGAGTATACTTTCTTTCACATAAAGTTTTTGGCACATATGCGAAGAAGTTTACCAATACCCTCTTTTGACCGTTGACCTTTTCTATATATTTGCCGTTTCTCCATCATCACAAGCAGAACTTTTTTTGCCCTGCATCGCCTAGCAATGAAATTCCTCTTGACTCATTGGCCAGTATTGTGTCCTGCATATATTTCTTGTAAGGTGTCTTGGTTAAATTGAGTCTTTCTTTTGTTCTTCTTTTCTTTTTAAATGCATAAACGTAGGACCAACCTGGTATAAAAAGGGAATGATTTGAATTCAACAACTGCATGTTATTATCTTCACGTTATAAAGTGACATAATTTTTAATGTGTCATAAAAATCATGACATAATTGCACTAATTGAATCAGGTAAATTCCAGTGTTTTTCTTTATGAATAGATAGAGAATTTTGATATCACTCTGCCAACAGTAAGAGGTACTCTTTTGGGCTATACTGGCAAAGATGTGCATAAAGAGGTTTATGGAGTACATCAAATGGGCGATGTTATAAAAGTAAACCATTGCACAGTTAAATTGATGAACTGTCAAGTTATTGGGTAGTTTAGACTAGTGGTGCAGAAGGGGACTTTACCAAAACCTAAGGTATCAATAGAATCAGATTAATGCCACTTGGGGGGGTTCGATAATTACATTTCAGACTCCCTGTTTTGAGGTCTACTGCTCTTTCATCCAAAAAAAAAAAATGTAATAGGGAATTCCTGATCTGGAATTGATATCAGCTAAAAAATTCATATTGGAATATTTCGACCTGCATCTAAAATTTCTGTTATCAGCATTTCGATAGAAAAACTCCCCTTGTGTTTAAAGTTTCTGTATCCCACTAGTGAATAATACATGGGTCAGTTGTTGTCATACCTGTTGTTGTTGACGGTTGTCCTTTAAGGGAATATAACTTGATGAATATTTTCTAACAATCAACACTACAAAATAGGTAACTAATTTATTTATGATCCTTGCTGATATCATATCAGGTAAATATTGGTATCGGTAATTACTCAAAGCTGCAATAGCAGTATCATATCGGAAATGAAGGAGTTGCATCAGACCCTCCCTAATTTTTAACATGTATTGCGGTTTGATCATGTATTAAAGGCAAATCCATAACATACCTGCATTTGGGCATTCATCATTGTGAAGTTCAAAGCCAGATGCCTGCACTTATTCCATGTTGGGAAGAGGGAAAAAAATGCTTTCTGCATTGGAGCAAAGAGGAGGAAGGGAATAAGATAAGACCCCTGTCTTTTACTTGCCTAAAATTATGTCAATTAGCCCCACCTTCAACATTTAATCACAATATTATTAAGCTTAAATAAACAACATATACAACTTTGTTCCATATGTTCAAAGAAAATACCCCCCAAAAAAACTAAACTCCAATTTTGACTGCCTAGATCCAAAGCTATTAAAGGGACATGTTTCACTCTAATAACACTATTTCTACACAAGCAGTATTGACAGACGCACAATTAGGCACCAATTCAGCGCTAAAAAATCTCTGGGACATCTTATCGATTGGAGGGAGCTGATACCCTTGGGGGAGGTGGATGGGTACTTGAACTGAAAGCTGAGAAAGAGAGGAGCATCTCACACAACGGGACCAGGCTCCCTGTGTCCTTGTAGTGCGATGGCTGTGGAACAAACCTGTTCTGAAGTCTGGCCCCTAATTTGCCAGTGGACTATGGATGCATGCATAGGGAGCACCCTGCATAATAATCACTGTTTCATAAATCAACGCAAGAAACCAAACCCGCGAGAAAAAAAAAAAAAGAAAGAAAAAAAACAAGGCACAGCCCACATAGCAGAAAGAAAACTGCTGTAGTGTGTGCGCGGTGTCTCATGGTGTGAATGGGAAGCCTGTTTAATCTAGGTCTAGGACGGTGGAGAAAATAAAAATAGATAAGGTGAAAATTAAATGTCGAGGAAAAGAAGAACTGATAAATATCCATAAGCGAACAATCTGGCCAGATGTCAGTTACCAATCAGGACAGTGGAAAAACCCCCAGCATCATTAGGTTAACTCACCTGCTTCTACACCAGCTGAAACGCGCTCCATCCCAGCATTTTCCTCCATACCAGTCGAGTCAGTCAGGATTGCAGGACAAGAGGCAGGAGAGGATGGAGATCTGAAGAGAATATCCTCCCCTGGTTTAGGATTATCAGACACACGGATCTTCGCTCTTATCTGCTGCTTCGCACAGCCTGCGTGCTTTGCGCATTCACGACGCCAAGGTCAGGAGCGCCAACGGTTTTAATGGAGCGCCCACCACACAGATCTCTCTACGGCGCCCACTGCCAGCGCGTTACCAGGCAACCACCGGGATACGACAGCGCGTTCACCCCACTCTCTCTAAATAACGATTAAAATAAATAAATAAAATGAAATAAATAGGATTCATGTCCAATTTGCCCACATCGGCTAAACACCTTTAGGCTCAGAGAGCCTGGTGGAGGGACGCCTTTGACCGAATGACAGGAAACAGAGGAAGGCTATTCAGGAGGAGAGCTGATCTGCAAGGAGGAGATGGTGCCCTGCATCTGGAACACACTGCTTGCAGGTTTTATTTTTAATTTCAGCACCAACAAAAATTAAAACAACCAAGAGAAGAATGATAAAAAGCAATCCAGATATCCACATGACAATGTTCATAATAACCATGGAACTTTTTTCTTTATTACAAATATAAAATGTCATTTGTATACACCATCTTTATTCAGATAGCCTTAAATAAAATCCAGTTTAATCATTCACCTTCAGAAATCACCAAATTAGAGAGTAGCTCAGCTGTGAGCAATTCCCATAACCCCTTAGTTAATTAGCTTCCTAGCAGTTAAATACAGCCAACATGCTTAAAGAGTTATTTATTAGTATGCTCTAAAATCTACTAAGCTGGTCTTCCTTAAATTTATCTTAAAAAATTAATAATTATGACTACAAGTGGGGGCTGCTCAGCACTGCTGCCTTGCAGTAAGAAGGTTCCTGGCCCCGGGTCTTTCTGCATGGAGTTTGCATGTTCTCCCTGAGCATGCATGGGTTCTCTCCTGGTACTCCGGCTTCCTTCATACAGTCCAAAAACATGACTGTTAGGTTAATTGGCTTCTCTAAATTCCCATTAGGTGTGAGCGTGTGTGTGAATGGTTGTTTGTCTTGTTTGTCTCTTTTTTGCCCTGCCATGGACTGGTGACCTGTCCAGGGTGTACGCCGCCTCTCGCCAGCTGGGGATAGGCACCAGCACCCCTCGCGACCCCACCTAGGATACGGCAAATGGATAGATGGGTAGATGGATGGACTACAAGTGCCCTATATGATTTTATACGCAGTGTCCAAGAGTTTGTTGTATGAAATGTTTTTTTTTTTATTATTATTTAATTTAGAGCAATAGAGTAATTAGCTTTATTTGAAATACATAAAAAAAAAATTTCAGTTCAATATACTGAAAAAAAAAAGTTGATCTTCTCAAAAACTCTCCTATGTAGCTTCAGATGGCCAGATCTGTCACTTAAAAGTATAATTAAGGATTTTCACGATTTTTTTAAAGAGACCTACCCTCTCCACTTTAAAAAAAAAATGCACATACAAAACCTGCTCCCAAGAGCAAAGGAACCAGTAGTAAACCAATGAGGTGTTCTTAATTAGCTCAAGTAGCTCATTTTTTCCCCGACCTAATTTACAAAACTTATTTAAGATTAGTTTGAAAACCAAGTTGATGAGAACTGTTCACTTCTGTTGAACTGAATGCTGTTTTACAGTGTACTGAGCAAAGCTTTGGATGTACCTTGGTATCACTAGTGTTTGGGAGTGTGAACTGAACATGACCTGTGTGAGAGCAAAAATTAACTGACACACAATAAAGTATTGACTGATAAACTTAGTGTACTGGCTCAATTTGAGTTAAATTGTGAAACAGGAGAAAAAAATAAATACAGGCTTGTTAATTTTTCTGGTTTTAGGTCTTTTTTAGGTAGAGTATTTACAGAAGATAAATTAGGTATAGATTATGTATGGAGTAGAAAGAAATGTTAAAATATACGTATTTGCACTTCTGTTATACAAAACGGAATCTGATGAATAGTTTAAATTGGGAAAAAAAAATCAATTTTCTCATAAAAATGTAACTCTGTAATACAATATAGCGCTATGAAACGTGGACTAAACGCTCATTTGGGTATTTATCAAAGCATTTTGTTTTGTATAGATATATTTTAAACACTAAATAACAAAATGGCAATAGTAGTGGAAAAAAATGATTAGCCAACACTGATCAGTTATTGTAAAATCCGTACAGCAGCTTAGTAAAAACTAAGGCAGAGTTTGTTGCAGTACTTCCCTGAAATTGAAAGGCTTTGAATATGAAAATGCAATGATGGTTCAAAAACCAGTGTTATAGATTATTTATAACACTGTTTGATTTTTATTTGTGTTTTCCTATTGCAAAGAAAGAGCTAGCAGTATCTCTGTCGGTGTAGTAAGATAACTTCTCATAAATTCCCTCCATCTAAATGCTAATATGAATGGTTGTACAAAGATATATGTTTTAACTTAATTTATGTCTTTTTGAGCATAAGCGGCATCGATAAAATATTCCACATATTTAATGTGACTTTTTTTTTTTATACTTGAGATTAAGGGCTCCCAAAGTGGGGTTCAGGACCACCCTGGAGTGGTGTGAGGTAGTTTTCACAATCATTGTGATGTGATCCTACTAGGCTTGTCAAAAGTATCGATACTCAAAAAAGTATCGATACTC